TAATGGCATAAGAAATATCTGGACAACTACATACCATTGCATATCGTGCAAGGATGAAGTATATTGCTGTCAGGTAATATTTTATCTATTAAATAATAGTTTAAGGTGATGCATGCTGTTGAAGATTGACACCAAGATAAATGTTGTGGATATGCTGACAAAACCGATTCCATTATAGAAGTTCAAGCTGTGTTTGGACTTGATTAATGTGTTGTCAAGCTGAGCGCCTATGGGGGTGCATATGGGGAAGACGGACAATAGAAATCTCTTTTTGAATTCAAGCCAAGGGGTGATTTGTTAAATTTTGTTATGAATCCCATTTAGCAAGGGATTGTTTTTTCGGTTTCCTAGTTATTAGCATGTTTTCAAAGTGTAGCGAGTGAATCGTAGGTTTTTGGGAACGCTTTCTATTTTTGTGGATATGGGAATCCTAACATTTTAGAATCATTATCTTACCGGTTTTTACTTATTACAGATTAGAATAATATCAAGATGTATGATGGTGTCATGAGAATCTTGATTGATGTGAGGCATATTTTAGATTTGAAACAGAATATCATGATTTTACGTGGTTCATCACTAAACGACATCCAGGGGCAAAAACATTCGACGACTTTTCACTAATCAATAGAAAGAAAATTACAAGATGACTCTTACCCGAGAGAACTAGAGGCAAACTCAATCTCTCGCAAAAGACTTTTTTCTACACAAACCAAGGATTCTCTACACAAACCAAGGATTCTCTACACAACCTTAGACACTTTATCTCTCTTTATCACTATTTCTAAAGAAAAGAATAAAATGCAAAAGGATGATCACATAAGGTCATCCTTATCTTTTTATCGCAAGGATAAACACAATCCATCATTATCCTTCTTTTTAATAAGTCAAAACCAGTAAGATAATGATTCCTAAAGATTAGGATTCCCATACTGACAAAAAATTGAAAGTTTTCCCTAAAACCTAGGATTCACTCCCTATAATTAGGATTTCTGAACCAATTCCCCAAGAAATAAGAAAACACCCAAATAAATATTGAAAAAAAAAATCCCAACTGCATGTGATTCAAGACAAGTTGAACAAATCCCCATTGCTTGAAAGTCAAAAGAAATTCCCATCAACACATTAATCAAGTTTCAGCACAGCGTGAACTTCTGTAATAGAATTGGATTTTTTAGCATATTAGCCATATTTACCCTGGTGTCAATCCTCAGCAATAAGACATTACCTTCAGATATTATCTCATAGATAAATTGACACTTGACATCAATATGCTTTATCCTTGCATGATATACCTAGTTCTTTACTATATGTATAGCTAATATACTATAGTTCCATCTTGTTGTAGCCAAAATCACTTTCAAGTCCTCTAAGCCAAATGGTTTCTTTAACTACCTACATTACTCTGATTCAGTCATAGACAATGCAATCGTGGCAACTGATCGGAGTTCTTGCAAGTGCAAACACTCAACCTGTGTACTTCTACAGTCCAAATCACCTGCAAAATCAGCATCAACATAACCAATAACCTTGTCACCAAACTTACTACTACTGTCAAGCACCAGGCCCACATGTAATGTATCCCTTGGGTAACGTAGAATGCCTTTCACTGCACGCCAATGCTCCTTTCCTGGATTAGCCATTGCATATCGTGCAAGGATGAAGTATATTGATGTCAGGTAATATTTTATCCATTAAATAATAGTTTAAGGTGATGCATGCTGTTGAAGATTGATACCAAGATAAATATTGTGGATATACTGACAAAGCCGGTTTGATTATAGAAGTTCAAGCTGTGCTTGGACTTGATTAATGTGTTGCCAAACTGAGCGCCCTTGGGGGTGCATATGGGGAAGACGGACAATAGGAATCTCTTTTTGAATTAAAGCTAAGGGGGAGATTTGTTAAATTTTGTTATGAATCCCATTTATAGGGAGTGAATCGTAGGTTTTTGGGAATGCTTCCTATTTTTGTGGACATGAGAATCTTAACCTTTTGGAATCATTATCTTACCGGTTTCTACTTGTTACAGAGTAGAATAATAATGGATTGTATTTATCTTTGTCATAAAAGGATAAAGATGTTTCTACTTATTACAGAGTAGAATAATGTTGGCTTCTATTTATCTTTATCATAAAAGGATAAAGATGACTTCATGTGTTTATGCTTTTCTATTTCATTATTTTCTCTATAAATAGGGATGTAGAAAGAGAGAGAAAGTACTAAGTTTGTGTAAAGAATCCTTGGGTCGTTTAGAGCAGAAATATTGTAGAGAGAGAGAAGCTTTATGAGATATTTAGTGGTTCATTGGTTCTCTCAGGTAATAGTTGTCTTGTAATTCTCCTTCCATTGATTAGTGAGAAACTGTCGAATATCTTCCCCCTATTGGTGTAGTTGCATCTATAATGAACCACATAAAGTCCTTGTATTCTTTTTGCATTATTTATTTCATGTTTTACTTTCGTTGCTTGTTGCCGATTGTGTTTTTTCTTGCTATTTTTGTTTGCCAAAAATCAATCTGTCGGGTTTAGAGCTTCTGCGCACCACACAAACTTATAAACCATACTATGAAACTGCGGGAGAGAGTGATTGAGCCATGACTAAGGCATGAAACAAGTGTATGCCAGGGACTTCAACTATTGAGGCTATTTTCCAAATTGAGAAGTTTTAGGAGAAGAGAAAAGACCTTACATGGTCTTATATTGATTTATAGAAAGATAAGATACCTAGAGAGGTTATTTGGTGGGTGTTGTGAAAGAAAAGAGTTTCAAGAGAATATATTGATAATATTAGGGATATGTATTAGGTTGTGCTAAATAATGTGAGGACAACAAGTGGAGAGACAAGTGAGGTTTTAGTGACAGTAGGACTATATCAGAGGTCACCGTTGAGCCCATATCTCTTTTCTTTGGTTATAGACGGGTTAACTACGCATCTGTAGGATGAGGTCCTGTGGTTTATATTATTTGCCGATGGCTAGTTTTGATTGATGAGGTCAGAGGCGGCTTAAACCCAAAGTCAAAACTTTGGAGGAATGCTTTAGAATCTAAATGTTTTAAAAGTAGCAGGACTAAGACAAAATATCTAGAATTCAAGTTTAGTAATAATGGGAGTAGAAACAAGCAAGTAGTACAAAATTTATGGCCAAGACGTACCTAAGAGAGATTATTTTCGATATCTTGGGTCAGTAATCAATGATAAAGGAGAGATTGAGGATGATGTTGCTCATATAATTAGAGGGTGGACAAAGTGGACATGTGCTTCTATTGTTTTATGTGACCGTTGCATACTAGTGAAACTGAAAGGGATGTTTTATAGGATGGCTGTAAGACTAGCCATGCTTTATGTGATGGATTGTTGGGTAGTCCAACCGTCTAGAAACAACATATCTATAGAATCAATGTAGCTGAGTGAGGATGTTGAGATATATGGGTGGCAAGACAAGGATAGAATTCATAATGAATACATCCTAGGGATCTTAGAGGTAGCTCTAATAGGTGATAATATAAGGGAAAGTAGACTTAGGTAGTTTGATCATGTGCAATGTCGACTTGGAACAATGCCGGTTAGGAGGGGTGATTTGGTTCAAGTGAAAGGGCAAGGGAAAGGCCTCCAAAGACTGTAGATGGAAGTAGTGAGAAAATATATGGTGATTTATAGTCCAACTGTGGATATGACCCTTGATAGAGCGAATGATAGAACAAGATTCAAATAACCGACTTCAAATAGTTGGGTTAAAGCTTGGATGATGATGATGATAATATAAATGTTCTAAATTTGGGCTTAATCATTAAATTTCCTAAATAAGGTTTAAATATGATATAAACTTTAATGATTAGAATTTTTTTTTGGCCTTGATTTAAACACTTTAAATTTTGGATCACCAAGTTTTTAGAATTTTTAAAATCAGACCTTCAAAAGGTTTTGTTCGAAAGTTGGTTCAAACTTTTAAACAGTACTGTTTGAAACCCTAATTTAAACAATTTTATAAATATTGCTGATATTGTTTGAATAATGTCTATTATTTTATTTTCTTTTTTGTCCTTTCCCATTCTTTAAGTTGGATCACCCGAATCAGGTGATCTAGATCAGAAACAGCAATCCAACTTGTATTTGCTGCCTTCCTACTATAGTCATAGAGTAAGGGAGAAACTGGTTGTTTTTTTTCATCCGAGGGTTTTCAAATAGCCTCAATTTGGCAGGTTTTCCTACAATACTGAGGTTTAAAAGTGATAGAGACAGACAAGTTGCAATAGTGCTCCCACACAAGTTGGATGATGAAGTAGTTTTCCTGTTTAGCGCTCAATACGTACAGGCCCTTAATTGTGTGTGATAATGTAAGGAATGATGCTTGACAATTTCCGCAATTTTCAATTGATGAAGTGGGCCTCCATTGGGGGTTAACTCTTTTGATGATATTGTCCAATGCAACTTGAAAAACCATGATAAACTCATCAACACATGTCAAGAAGCTGCAGCCTCCTATTGGTCTGAAGATTCAGAGCATAAAATGTCACCCATATTTATATCCATCCCCATCATTGAATTCTGCTCAACCTTAAAGGTTGTATTGGTTACAGAAGACTGTATTGTGTTAGTGGGTTTTGAAGAATAAACTGATTACTTATTGAAGATGATTTACATCAAGCCAGCAATGTTTTCTCAAGGGCTGCTTGCCCTGTGATTAACTATAGCAATATTAAGTCAACCTTTCTCCCAAAAAATAAAAAAGAAAAGAAAAAAATAAATAAAATGAAAAAAAAACCAAAGAGAAAGTAATTTTGGTAATTGTATTTGTGAACCAAGTTACAATATAAAAGCAGATTATGTTGCCAATGTAGAGTCCAATGAGTTCAACTGCCTGGTGACAAATTAATAGTGAATTTTAGTTGGTAATGACTGGTCTTGGAATGCCGGTATTTGTGTAGTCTTGCATGCTTATCAGACTATTGGCTCTTTGTTTTGTTAAATGTCCATCATGGTTACATATACATATACAGGATGGATGAGATGATGCGTGGGCAGAGAGGATGGAGAGAGTTGGCTGTACTGGGAGATAAAATAAACAAGTTTACTGGCATGTTGGAAGGGTTTATATGGTCTCCAAAGGGTTCAGAAAGTAATGGTCAAGAAGATGAATGGGCTTTTGAAGAGGTATCATTATCCTGCTACGAGGCCTATGTTTCATTCAATATTGAACAATTCTGCACATTTTCGCCTTGTTGATCTGGAATTAAATAAATCAAACATTTCTTTTGTAGCATTTATGTTACAAAGTTTTGAAAAAAAAAAAAGTTTTGGAAACATCGTAGTGAAATTAAAACGATAAAAGCTTAACACTTCATTTGCAAACAATAACTATTCCTTTTTCATGTAAACTCATTATAATCTTCTTTATCTGAGAGGCAATTTTATTTTACTTTTGCATTGCTACTTTTTATCTTAAAGTTGTAATCCAAGAGCAGGGCAATCATTTTTTGTGGGAATTGCACACGGAATGGAACCTCACTTCTTATCCCAAAAAAAAGAAAAAAGGAACACACCAAATATTGCTTTAGTAGGAACAACATTGTATCTGATTTTCTTCATTTAATGTGTGGGTTCTGTTTCTTTCCGCTCTCCACTTGAAAACCCTTTTTGTATTGATGATATGCTTTTTGGGAAAATTTGGGAATCACAGGGGCCACACTCTGATTTCTCTGGACCAACATCTGGAAGCACGGCATGTGTAGCAGTTATCAGGAACAACCAACTTATTGTTGCTAATGCTGGGGATTCCCGCTGTGTGATCTCACGAAAAGGACAGGTAAAATTGGTTAATTGAAATTTGTTGTGTCATGGTCATATTATGGTTTTAACTATTTGGCATAAATCTATTAGGTGATCTTTTCTACAGTTGTCTAAAACTTTGGTATTATGGTCATACCCAACTCTTAGCCCATTTGCATAATGAAAATGGTCTTCGTAGCTTACCATATACTGGTTGTCATCCAAGTTTCCATGAAACTCAGACTTGATTCTGGGTGGAAGCAAACTTGTGCGTGATTGTGTTTGTGTATGGCTTTTTCTTTCTTTAATATTCATTTCTGGTACTTTGTTTTGTTTTTATGGTAAGGCTCTTTTCTTGGCAACAATTCAAAATTCACCTTTTGTCTTTGTTTCCTGTTTGTGAGCAAAATTTACTTGGGTTCACATCATTAATTTGGTGATTAGGGTTCATGCACCTTAGAACTAACAATGCAATCTTCAAAACATAAAAAGAATGAAAAAAAAAACTGAGATATTGTTCAAATCATTACCATCATCATCGTCATCATCATCATCTGACCCTTATCCCAACTATTTGGGGTCGGCTTCAGCGTTTATGGTAGGGGTGGGGCAAAAGTTTTCCACCGGCTGCCAAACAATCTCCTTTCTCATCTGGGCTTGTACTAGCAATGGCAGAGTTAGATATTATTCAAATCAACAAAATCAACAAATTAAAAAGAAAGTAAAAGAAAACTGAGGTCTTGTTCAAATCAATAAATTACTTAATTTTTGGCAGGCGTATAACTTGTCAAGAGATCATAAACCAGATCTTGAGGCCGAAAAGGAAAGAATTCTGAGGGCTGGAGGTTTCATCCATGCTGGGAGAGTCAATGGAAGTTTAAACTTAGCAAGAGCAATTGGTAATTTTCCTGATGGATTTCTCATAAACTTCCCTCTACTTTGCTGCTGTTCTTTAGGTGAACTAATCTGCCTCGTTTTGTTTCAAACTGCAGGTGATATGGAATTCAAGCAAAATAAGTTTTTGCCTGCAGAAAAGCAAATTGTGACTGCCAATCCTGACATAAACATTGTATGTACCATGAGCCCCATCAATTATCAGTATCCTCAATGACATTTTCTTCTACGATGGGTGGTGTTCCATGTTTAACATACACACCAACACACATATATGTTCTTCTGGAACTATTATTGTGATAGTCAGGTTTATGTCTTTATTTGATTCTGTAGGTTGATCTTTGTGATGATGACGAGTTTATTGTTCTGGCATGCGATGGTATTTGGTAAGTTTTTAACTGAGCTCTCTCTTGCTATTGTATGAGCTGTTCTTTTTCCTTTTACATGTTCCTTGGATGTGTTCTTGCTTATTGTTTGTTTACTGCCTCTTCTGGTACACTTAACAACTTATGCAATTTGCATAATTTTTTCGAAAGTGTTATTTTTTTTTGGTTGATAAAACTGCTTAACAGCTGCCACTGTGATCACAAGCAGGAGTTTATTCAGTGTGCTTCAAAATTGCGCTTTAACTTTTCCTAACTGCTTCATTCTTTGAAACTCATAGCCAGAGCTCCTTGTTATCATCTAAATATTGTCGATTAGTTTTATGTTTCTTCGAAACTGGTGAGAATTGTAGTATTTGTTCCTCTGGCATTCTTTTGTACTTTGTAAGTGGTGGTGCTGTTTGTGGCTTATATTTATTTGGAAATTGTGCTTTCAATTTATTTTCGGTATATCTGATTAGAACTCTCTCTCTCTCTCTCACACACACACGTACACACACAACACTTCTGGCACATGTGGTACTCAAAGCTTAATTTTTTTGCTATACTATTCTCTTGTGATCAGGGATGTGTTATCAAGTCAGCAGCTTGTGGATTTTGTGCATGAGCACATAAACACTGTAAGTATTCAATACGCTGTTGCTAACTAGTAAGTGAACAAGAACTATGTCAATGTCCTTTTGAGAAACCTTTATCACCTCTTTCTTTCAAGAGTTGTTTTCCATTTTGTTGTGAAATTTGGGTCCTGTTTAGAGTGGAAGATTCTCTCTACACTTTTGACATGGAAACTTTCTGTGGCCATCTTATTCTTTGAATAATTTTTTCTTCCAGTTATGCATTTTTGGTTTTCGAAGTATTTCCCTTTTATCAATTTGTTTGCATCTTTTTGCATAAGAAGTTTTTGACTTATTTGCTGCATTAGCTTTTCTTGTTTGAATTTTTCTTCTCATTGATACTTTCCCCTTTGTTCAGATATTTGCTTCTATTTCATGAAAAGAAAATTCATGAAAGTATAAAAATAAGCAAGTGTGAAGAAGTTGTGCTATGTTCTTTTTTGTTTTCCTTCTTATTTCATTTTGTTTATGATACTTTTGAAATGCAGGAAAGTAGCATCTCGGCGGTCTGTGAGAAAGTTCTTGAACGTTGTTTGGCGCCATCCACGGCTGGGGGAGAGGGGTGCGACAACATGACCATGATCCTCGTCCAATTTAAGAAAACCGCCCCCTCATCCTGATTCACCTTGCCTGACTGAGAGCTGGTGAACCTATTGTGATGATCCCTTTTTCTCCCTCTCATGAATTGCCTGTCACTCCTTGCCCCACTCTCTCTCTCTGGAGGCTGTGCTGCTCCGTGGCCAGAGGCTGCGCTGCTCTGTGGCCAAAGCAAATCAACTCTCTCTCTCTGGAGGCTACTCCTTGGCCAAAGCAATCTCTCTCTCTCTCTCTCTCTCGGCTACTACCCCTTTAGTGACTTGGTTGTTGCGGCGAAGGGATGGGGGTTTCTGGTTTTTGCTTTGGACTTCAGCTCTTATTCTATATCTGTAAATGTAGGCGGTAGGTAGCAGGAGTGAGAAGTCATTCACATGGCTTGTATAAGAAAAATTTACATTTTAATAGATTGCGGCAATAAATAGTGTACAGAGGTATAATCTTCTCTTCATCAGGAGCGCTTAGGGTGGGGTACAGGAGGATGAATGCATGGGTAGTTAGTCCTCCCTGCCCCAACCCCCACCCCCACCCCCACCCCCACCCCCACCCCCCACCCCCCACCCCAACCCCAAAGTAAAAAACTCTTTCTATGCCTTAGAGACACCCATCAAAATCGATTGATTTTCTGAATTTTTGTAATCAAGAAAATGTTGGAAAGTTTGTGGAATCATCCAAAATATTATATATCTTATTGTAACCATGTTTAGGGTCTAAGTTATTAGAAGACTTTTGGGAGATTTTGAGCTTGATAGATAACTGAAACATTAAAGATCAGATATCTGGAACATTGAAAACTTAAAGATCACTTTCTTTGCTTTTGAATTGTAGCATTTTATATTGGTCATTTGGTTTAATAAGAAACTTGCAGTCTATGACCGTATGAAGTATGAATTATATACCATGGTGCATGGCACCAAGCAGTGTTTGCAAAATCAAAGCGGAACGGTTAACCGGACATGGGGTTAGGAGCGGTTAGAACCGAAACTGGACTAACCGGTCTAGTAGATTTTAAACAAAAATGGGTCACAAACCCCCAAAAAAAAAAAGAAAAGGAAAAACTTAGATTTAGTGTATAATATCTTATTACATACATTTATCTTACAAAAACAAAATTAAAACAACTCTTTATGTAAATTAATATTTGAATACTATGGTCCTATACATGATCCCATGCAGGTCACATAAATCTTTTTGTTTCTTAGAATGAAGTCTGATAATAAGTTTACAACACCTTACCACAAATGTATTACCCCAGTGTAAATATGCACTCTAGATATTCAGGTGTTGCAGAAACATTACATTAGTCTATGTTTATTACTAAAAAATATAAGCACACATATTTGTTTACGCGCTCCAGTTTCAAGTTTTACAACACTTTAAGATACTGCTAATCACAACTAGAAATAATGGAAAAGAAATTGATGCACCAACTTTTACATGTCCATCTAAAAATTCATCTGTAAAAAACAAGATGTCACAAGAGAGAGGCCGATACATATAGGTTTTGTCATATTAATCAAAACAACATATTTTTATCAAAATAAATAATTTTATAAAAAAATATTATTTTATTAAAACATAGAAAATCACTTTCCATATTCATCAAAAATAATAATTTTATTAAGGAATTTTTTTTTTTGACAATTGATTTCTCTAGAACTTCTAAAATTGAGCAACATTTCAAGCAAGAAACGACCCTCAATGTTTGGATAATCGAACAAATCAATACACAAGCCCTGTAAAGGCTTCGATCATCCTTTCAAATACACCAAAAATCATAAAAAAAATATTCGGTATTTTTTATTCAATTGATAAAAACATGGAAAATTTATATATGTGAAATTGAGCAAGAAAAAAATTCATATAAAAATATGTACTCAATAATAAATAAGCATACCTATTTTATGTGACAAATGGAGCTTTGATGGTCAAAATACACAAATCAATTTGATAAAAAACGACCAAAAAATCAATCCAAAATCCGTTTTTTTTGGATCGAACGCAAGTTCATCGAGCAATAGCTTTTCGAGCCAAAATCAACCCCAATATTTTGTTTTTTGAACAAATTGAAAGAGGCATATGATAGATGATTCGATTCGGATTAAAAACCCTCAAATTTCAGCAAAAAGCATTGGCTATTGTAGATGATATTGATGACATGGCAGAAAATTCAAAATACGTGAAAATCCATCATTTCAATTCACAAAATCTCTTGGGTTTTTCAATCTTGGATTCCAATTTTCTTGTTTTGTATACAATAAATCGTGTTTTATAGCTATAAATCATGAAAAAGCCAAAAAATGGCAAGAAAAAGAATAAAAAAAGCTTGAAAAAATCTACTTGTGAATTCCTACATCAAATAACGGCTTCAATTGAAAATAATGGCCGTCATTTTAACTATAGCGTTATTTGTTCATAAAACCTGTTATATCTGCTGCCGGTCCGATTTGCAGCAAAACCGGTCGTTAACTAGCCGGTGTTGGGCTCGAAATTTTGTAGGGTTGTACCCTAGGCTAAGAGATCACCAAAACTGCCCCTAACCAGACTCAGAACCCTAGCTGTTCCGAGCTTACCGGCCTGTTCCGGTTCTAACCGGCAGGTTTTCCTACAATGGCACCAAGTCACTAGTACACTATCAACTTGTTTTTGTTTTTAACTATTTCAGGTATTCAAAGAATCAATATTTTCAGTGATTTGAATGTTTTTCAGCATGTATGTGCAATTGTGCATATATCTTCATAAAAAATTAGTTAGAATGCATACAGATGCATAAATATACATTTTGGGTGAGATTTGTACAAGGTGCGGACTTTATGCTGTACAAATAAGGCTCATTCTAAATTTTGCCAAAAGATGTAGCTTCCGTATCGGAAACGTTACAATAACTTGAAAATCCATATTCAACCCTGATTATAAAATTTAAAATTTCAGAAAGCGTGCATATCGAGCATATCTATAAACACTTGAAAATCTTGAAAATAGATGGTCCAAATAACTTGCCATACGATGCCTTACTTTTTGGACTTGAAATATTTTTTTTGTTTATATACGTACATCTCAAGGTCTAGATGATCAATAAGGATTTCTAACTTCGGAACACTATTTCTACTAGGTTTTTGAGGTGTAATATAAGGTTGCAACTTTATATAAACTTTTTCCATACATATTTGGCGTATACGTGTGTTTGGAGTGGACTGTACATATATGCATACGTTTACATATCTACATAATCAATTTGTGCTCCTTGTCAGATGTTGCATCAAGTTCTAAATGGCTGTACCATTATCGCGTGGTCATTGTGTGTACCAGTATTCAAAAATGCGGATTCGGACGCCTAAACGCTCAGGCGTCGGCCCAAAGACAGGGTGGAGACACGTTGCCCTCCCTAAAATTGAAACCCCCCCCCCCCCACCAAAACAAAAAAAACAGGGGAGTTTTTAGGGCATGATTTTAAGCCTTAGGGAGTTTTTAGGGCAATTTTAGAGCCCCAAATTCCTTGTGAAATAGACAAAAATGTAATGGTACAATCACATAACAGATTTACGGATAGAAGTCTCAAGGAGATTGTAACTTGGAAGAAATTAAAATGCTTGAAATCCCAAATGTCATTGTAGGAAACTAGAAGTCTAGACTAGAAAAAAATAATCTTTTAGCTATAAACATGTAAATATATCGTAAACGAAAAAATCAAAGTAAAAGAAAAAACGCATGATTCACAACATAATATATTGTAACAAAATCAAATCAACATCCTCTTTCAAATATGATAATACGTTAAAAATGGCAAAATCAAATTGATGTCGGTGCAAACCTCGTCTATTGGAACGCCAAAAGTCCTCAAAATCAACTACTTGAAGCTCCAAATCCACCAACGAACTATTGCCTTTGTTTTGGGAAATTGAAAAAATAAAAAAGTTATCGATCTTTCGATAAATCTCAAAAGAATGGTTTTTGGGGAGTTTTTCTCACCCTAAAGGCCCTGATTTTGGTTTTGGGGGTTTGGAATACCCCCAAAACCCTTATTCCAAAAATGAATTTTCTTAACCCTCAACGAGACCTATTTTCCGCGTTTTCTCAACCTGTCATGAGGCAGCGCCTAGGTAGGCGCCCAGACCTAGCACTTAGGTGGGCACTCAAACGCAAGACACATAATGACCCCTCCTAGCAAGCCCGTAGTTGTTTTCAAAAAATTTCCGCCTAGGCGGTCGGGCAGGTTAATTTTCGGGCAATGGTGTGTACATGCTAGGATGATTACATAGTGGGTTTTAAGGTTTATATATATATATGGGGTGTGGTTTCTATAAGGTTGCAACCTTAAACAATCCAATTAAGGCTCACCTCCAAATTTTATCATAACATATTATTTTGTTGTAAAAAATTCTTAGGATTATCTTAAAATCTATTTTCATATCTAATTAGAAAATTTTAAATTCCAAAAATGGTTAAAATCAAGTAGATCTATAAATATAAGAATATCTTGAAAATGGACGGTCTAGATAATGTGTTGCAAGATTCATTATTTCTGGGATTCAAAAAGGTTTTTTTTTCATATTCATACATCTAGATGTCGAGATGATCAATTAGAGGGTTTTTCAAAATTAAAACAACATTTCCAGTAG